CAAGCGAGGGGTCATCTTGCTGCCTCAGACCAAAGAAAACAGCCAAGCACTTGCCTCCATCTTCGCTCTTCGCAGATTCTGTCCTCGCTGTCTCGGCCACGTGCATTGAGCAGCGCACAGTTTTCGAAAAGCAATGAGGGTATCGTCAACATATTTCGGTATGCTCACTCGGTGTGCGATCAATCAGAGCAAAGTCTCAACCCGCTGGAACTCCGCGTTGAACTCGTACCGTAAGCAGAACGTGAGCTAATTATGCTGCTCGAGTTTTCAATAGCCCGCGTTCATCGTGAAACCACGCAGCGCAACTTTTTACCCACCGGAACCGGTTCCCTCGGTTAGCCGTGGCGTGAGTGAACATGATTCCTCCAGGGGCAGGCACTTCATTTTATGTTTGTGGACAAAGGCCCCAGGGATAATTATTGCAGTTAGCTTGAAGTTGTAATAGAACTCATTCGGAGTAAACGATGTCTTGGATTCGTTCTACTGCCTAGGTAATATAATATGCACATAACACAGTTGGCTTCTTTCATTTGTGAAGCGTTTTTCTTCATCTCGGCTCGAGAAAAGCTATACCTAACTCTGAATTCGGGAATTTCCATTTGACCGAAATCCCGGGGCGGCTGCTGAATGCTCGCTCGCTCGCAGTAAGATTGTACGTGTGTTTGTTTGCTCGGTCGGTCGGTTTGTTTGTATCAATAACTCCGAAACAAAACCTGACGGACAAAGAGTGCCCCGTAATTTCGGCGGCGTGGTACTCATCGAATAACATGCCCAGTCATCCCGCCAGCCAGCTACGGCGACCGACCGTCTCTCCTGACGCCAGATTTCTTCACTCCATCGATGGAGCCAAGGCGATTCGGCAGAGGTCTGCGGAATCGCTCGGTCTCCAGACTGCTCTTCACTGACATTGAATTCGTACCTTGCTGTCGTAGGTTGCTCAGGCCTTCGGTTCCCTACTCGCTCGATCGATTGCTTTGTTTGACAATTTATTTATCCACACGTCATTCAATCCATATCCTTGCCTAGCATCTATTCCGAAGAAAGATAAATCAAACATTGTAGTGCGACGACGCGTGACGCCCGCGTCTCATCGCAGAGGTCTTCGAGGAGACTCGAGATTTTCTGACATTCACAATTCTCTTCAGAATTAACCCGTCCCGACTTCAAGCGTCCGCTTTTCATTGTTTTATTCGGCGACTTGTCATGATGCTTTCCTGAAGACGCATGCGAACAGAAATTCACGGGAGAGAAGCAAGCAGAAAAAACAAAATTTTAACGAACACCGCAACCGCGACGAGCGAGCTCAGTCCGCAACGCGCTTCCTGCACTAATTGTTAGCATCGTTTGTCATGGATGCCCCACAAGTCTCGAGTTTGATGACAGCCAGCTAGTCCTCATACCAGTTGGCGAATGTTTAGAGAAGATTCATTTCCAGGAGCAGTTGCGCGTCTTTGTCTCTCTCCATTGTAACAGCGGAAGGATGAGAACTATTGCCCTCATCAGGCCTGATCAAATCCTCTCTCGGAGCGAGTCTCCCAAACATATATGATGGAAATGCGGGCTATAAGTATATGTTCAGTCCAAAGCTGTGATGAATCATGTCCGGATCTCCGGTTTTTGGCTAGGTTCAGGTCGGAAATAAAGATTTCCAGAGCGTTCGGGAGCTTTCGAGAAAGTCTCGTCAGTGGCCCACCGGCGAGAATAGGAGCTAGCTTACGGCGGCGGCGGCGGTTGAATATGCACGAGAACTCTGCGTTCAGACCGCTCCAATTATCCGCCACGAGATAGTGCGAAAAATTCCCGAAAGTTCGAAAAACAGCAGAGGAAATCGGTATAATGAGAGTAATTATGATTGAACTCTCGTAATTGAGAATCGACGTCGATTCAACTGTCGAATGTTCAGCGACAAACAACGCCCGCATGACAAACATGGGAGACGGTAGTATTACAAGTGTCGCACACTTGTCACTCCACATGCGACTATAATCAGGATTCGATTCGGAAAATTCTAATTGTGGATTTATTTCCAGGAATTTTGGAACTACAGCTCGATGAAGTTGCGACAATTTGACGCCGGACATCTCAGCCATTCGCTATTGAGCCTGCAATGAGCTTTCGACCCTTCACATGGAGCTTTGTGGAACGACATCGAGAATCGACGATCGCGAAACAAGAGAAGCCTCAGCAACAGTGCCTCGCGTTACTACTCGATCGGGGAACCGCCGCTCCGTGGGGGCAGATCCGATGAGCCGAGACCGTGACTGTAGAGAATCGTAATGAGCTCTTTGGTTAGCGCCGCTAATTTCGCTTCATTACTCCTCTTTCATGACTTCACGACAGGTTCAGATCTGTGCAGCACCGATTATGATTCAGGACGAGCTGAATCTGCAGGGTCGACATTCCGAATTTGAATATCGAAAACGGGTGGGCGCAGGACCATTCTTCTGACCACACTCGGGTCGTACTGCTCTCCTCTATCGCCCCGAATCCCGACTAACTCGAACATCGAGAGCTCCTTCGGAACCCGCGAAAAGCGGGACGGAACGAGCATCGTTGCCACCGAAGGGGGCGTATTCATCTTTCCTCTTCGGACAAGGAGAATAGTCCCCCAACAATCATTTACTTATGCCACGTCCGAAAGTGAGTCCAGAAAAGTGGGCTGTGACGGATCTTACAAGAAATCGGGCCGGCTTTCCCCGAGTCATCTCCGTGAATCCGGAGGGAGGCTCCTCAAGGGGAATTTTCAAGTTCGACATCATTGTTGCAATGAGGCTGCTCGAGCGATCGTCGTTCTCGGTGGAACGGGATGCGAGAAGAGTCTAATTTCTGCTCGATTCCCGAGCATGACCATGATGCGGGACAACAATACGCGATAATTTAGTCGGAACGTCACCATCAATGTCAATGACGTTGGCACACGGGATGGTGTGTGGTTTCTGACCTGGTGGTTTCTGGGAAGAACTCTTGCCGAGAGTTGCTATAATTTATTATCGTCGGGAATCAATGCGGAGGCGAGTAATCGTCGCGGTGATTTTATTCGAAACGAAGGCTCGCAGTCTCGTCGAATTCTGAAATACCATGGAAGAGCGGGCGATTCGGAATATGAATTTCGCTCCAGAGATCCCAATGCAGAGCCGCCGCAACGCCGCCGGCGTGTCCTGCTTCGAGTAGCCGCGATATGTAAAATCCGGGACGCGAACAACAGAATTTCCGCGGAGAAAGAAATCGAAGCCTACAAGTGAGCGTGTTGCGTTTGGGAACCTGATGCTGCTGCATACATACGTTCACTTCGGTCTATCAAGATGAATACAGCGCGAACTACTCTCCAGGGACGGACGAAGAGAACAAGTCAGTGGCGAGGTGGCGAAAGGGTTCTCCGATAAGTCGTGTCCTCCTCATCAGATAAGCGCCACGAGATAACGCCTGACGCGCAGATAGAAGGAGAGAAGGCAGGCAGTCCGTCGGGCAGGGAGGCGAGCGAGTCCGCCAGAGGATCTATATTGGGCGCTGAAGCCGCCGGTAATCACAACACAGCGAGACATCGAGCCCAAGTCCGAGGAGCGACAGATAGAGCCACGCTATAGAGGGAAAGATTGTGTTGTCAGTGAAGTAGATAGCCGAGGAGATAGCCAAAGTCGTTATCGCTTCATCGAGAGAGCCGTTCGTAGCCCAAGGGAGACGACACCTGCCACGCCACTCGCTCGCTTGCTCGCTCGCTCGGCCGTCGTTCCGACTCGACCGGAGTGTGAATCAGCTATGCTGCTCGACCTGTCATAACAGAACGTGAACATTTAGAGGCTATCTGTGAACTCCGAGAAGAGCAATTGGCCGTCATGCTCGTCGTATGAGCAGCTGACTGACTAACTGACTGAGAGAACGAGCTAGCCGACGACTCGCGCGCCGCTAGGTGGCTAAATGATAGTTTTTACTACACTGCGGAGACCAATAATTCGTTTATCTGAATGGCCCTTCCGCACGGTACACGCAGAGTCATCTGCGGTGAAGACTCCGATGGGGTGTTGGATCGAGCTCTTCACCGCGCCGTATGGAACGATCGAGGGGAGAGCTCGAGCTCCAAAGCGGAGGGACATCAGCACAGACGCGTACAATAATTCCCCTTCTGCGTTGAAACAGAATCAATCGAAGTCCAAGCTCTTGTTTCCTCGAGACTCTAGATATCTCGCGCGGTATCGAGCTTTCCGGAAGCATGAAATCCGGTCCGAGTCGACTAGCTCAGGATTTTCGATCGATAGACTCTATTCGATCAGCAGTTTTCGCTCCCGAGCGGATTCTACTCCAAGAGCCCGAAGCCGTTCCGTCTAGTGATTCGGAGAGATCAGAAATACAATCTGGAGGTGGTGATCAGCTGCCTATGTTCAGCTGGCTGCTCAGTGATAATACGGTTGCCCTCCACGTGCCTCCCTCCCCCCACTCCGAATGCCTCCCTGCTCGTCTGCCTGCCCTCCCCTACCCCGGAACATACCCCACCGCCGTATTAGTTATCCATTGGGTCTCGGCTATCTTCGTCGAGTTGTGCGGCGACTCTTCCGGCCCCGTGAGCCTTCACTGCCGCCGCCGCCGTCGCTGCCGCTGTTCCCGATCTCCTCGGGCGCGAGTGGCCCGGCTCCCCCGAGTCCCCTCAACTCGAAGCCACGCCTAAGTCTCCGCCCTCAGCAGCCGTTCTAAGTTGCGGCGTTTCCTTCGAGGCAATCGAAACAGCGGCCAGGATTCCCCGTCGCGCCCTCTGTCCGTCCGAAGGAAGCCCGAGAGTTCGTTTGCAAGAGTTCGCCTCCTCAAACGGCTGCGGCAGAGCAGACCCTGCGAGCAGGTGCTTCGTTCGCTTCTATTGCTTGAGTTACGGAGCGACGTTGATCCGCCAACCGATGGAGTCGGTCGCAGCAGGGCTGAGCGACAACACCTGCTGACGATGCAACTCGGAAACGTTCGGTCGGAGCGATTCAGTGCGAATGCTTCTTGAAGTGCACAGCTCACGTTGCACAATGAACAATAATAGCTTCGATCGTGAGAAACGAAACGGTGACGGTGCTTTCGGTGGTGACCTCACCGGACTCGATCTGTCGACGAGACAGGTGGTGGCCAGCGTTGAAATTGATGAAGAACATCAACGCCGTCTCGAAGAACGTCGGAAATGCAGTTACCTCATCGACGACCTCCTCAAGAAGGACATAATCTCTTCGAGCACGGAGCGTACGAACGGCTCATCGACGGACCAGCCGCGTTCTGGAGCAGGTGGGTGCAGTTGGACATTAGAATGGAGAAGTCTCAGCTCTAGCCCTTGTCCGGGAACGCTTGCGGCATCGTGACGATGAAATATTTTCACTCAGAGTACACCGAATGTTCCGCTCCTCCCGGTACAGTATTCCTCACGCTTTTCCTAAGCACCCATGTTGTGAATTGTTGCATCAATCCTGTCCGAAGTCGACTGGCTGAGTCTGTGCCCGGACATCCGGAACAGAGTTCCCCCCAGGCTCACCTACCTGAAGCTTGATTCCGCCTCAGGAGTGCATGCATTGGGAGCAACGAGGAAGCGGCAACGTCTTCCAATCCATTTCATGATTCGCTAGAACGCTGCAGAATCTTGGGGGGTCGCAAGTCGCAACTCGCTTCATCTATGACGCTCGCTCCGATGAGACGTTGACTGCCTGCGATTACCGAAGTCGAATAATTCATGGATCATACAGAAACGCCGAACCGTAATGCACCGGCCAACAAATCTTTTTTAGACCCCATCCCGATATTGGCCCTGGAGTCATTTAGCGGCGGCGAGTGTGGGCGATGTTTATTGTCTTCCGTACACAACCGAACCAGGGATCGATGGAGAGTGACATCACACATTCAGATGTGCCCGACATATTTCTTGTTTGCGAACCCAAAAGCAGGATCGGAATAGAAACTGAGAAAGAGCAGACCGGATGGAGGGTAAGCAGAGAGAGGATACGGTGTAGGGATCTACGATGCGAATGATCTCGCAACGTAGGTTTCTATCGATGAGAACTCAAAAAGGCGCAGGCGCAGGGTTCCGTCACAGACGATGATCCTGGAGTCATATTATTCGCGGTAAAAATGTGGTGCTTGAATCCTGGTGAGTCGAAAAGAAGCGTCAACCTGCTGAGAGATGAATAAGGTAAGGGGCAATTCTCGAGGTCTGGCAGCCGGAGCGACTCGAAAAGAAGCTCAAAAATCCACTTTACTCCAGAACTTAGGCTGAAAGTCTGACTGAAAACATCGAGATTACAAGCAACAGCTTGTTGTCAACTGAGGAATCACAACAATCAGAAGCAATTTTCTCCTCCTCGTCGCGCCCGGACAAACGCTCCCCATAAGTTGGAGCAATTAATATGTAGCCCCTCTATCCCGTGTTTCTCTGCTGCTCCTTGCGACGGAATAGCGAAGCTGGATCCAACACTTGAATTATCCAATGGTCATGAATCATGGACTAGAAAATTATAATTGTGGACAGCTCAGAATTCTTTCTAGCGCTTCCCGTTGATGGTTTAGCTGAATGAATTTTCCAGTTCCTGCGAATGAATATCCCCTCCGTCTCATAATATTTGATGAGATTCCTAGATGGCGCAGTCCGCGAACTCTTTCGAGAGACCATTCCGGGAAACTTCTCGACGATCCGCAGGAAATTGAAAGCGTCTTTCGTCTTCGAAAAGCTTCGTTCAGCGGCAACAGCCATGCGAAGCCCTTCCTTTCTCACTCGTTGTAACTTCATTCTTGTATTTGGGAAAATTACACTGTCGTCGACTTGTCGACGTTATGAAATGAAATATGAGAGCCGCGCGGCGAACAGCAGAGCAAGTCGTCCAGCTGCCATCCTCTTCGTGCTGGAGCGTTCTCTTGTTGCTTTCGAAGACAATTTCAATTGCCCTAATCATCCCACCACCGTTCTGCGACAAACGGCGGCAAACAACTGCTCGAGTGGCGGCATCGCCTACTCTTCCGACGGACTGTGAAAACACTCGAATTTGGATGTACCGGTTGCCGGATCGGGGGCTTCCCGCATTGCGTCGAATATGTCCCATCTCTAGATACTTTGAGCTCGAAGGATAATTTGTTGAGCTTGAGTCGGAATGAAGACCGGGACAGGGTGAGCGGCCTGATGCGACGGTACGAGCGAGCTTTTTGACGTAATGCATAACAGCGCAACATAATTAATGCGCTCGCGTATCTTGTGACCATCGACCGACCGGTGCATGGAGCATAACGATGCACTCTGAGATGGAGGCCTCTGCTTTCCTCCCGATCTTCCCTTCATTGCTCGTTGTTCCCCGGCGTCTTCGCGCTCCCATTCATGGAGCCATCCTAGCGAGTCTCTACTAGTTAAATATTGGATTCCCGCGCGTTCCATAGGAACAAGCAAGAACAGAGGAGTCATGTATGCGCGCCCTGGGGGCAACTTTGCTCCAGGGAAGCGGTCTTTGACTTTTTTTAGCCGGGCTCTCGCCCGCTCTGAATTAAACTGTAATTAGCTAATTCATCCTTAATGCTCGGAGTCCCGGGCTCAGGGGGACGCAACCACTGCGAGAGGCGCAGAGCGCTTTTTGTCTCACCAAAACCAAAAGCCTCTCCGTTAGAGTCGTAATGTCCGTGATTTACAGATTTCGAAATCAGATGGATCGATTCCTCTTCATCAACGGAATTAACTAGCCGAGTGAGGATTCCACCGAATGCGTTCTATCCTTCAAACAGGCTCTCGGCCGCGTTGTGCCTGTTCTGTATAATGAGTTTTGACTATTTCGAAATTCAACGATCGTCCCTATAATCCGAAGTCGAAGACAGTGGCGGACTGATGGGGAAGCGGGTGGGCGGTCTTCGGATGGATCGATTGATGGGTGGATATCCAGATGACCAGATGGAGGAAAAGGAACTTGTCGGAACACTCGGCGAACAAACAAACGAACGAGTGAGCATTGGGAACAGAGCCACCCATCGACATCAATTTCGAAAAATCGATCCGCGAATCCGTGGCTAGATCCATCATCCGACGATTCGGATTCCTCTTCATCAGATGTCCGCTTTGGTTCTCCTCGAACGTGCCTGCCTGCTCGCCGCTCGGCCAGCCTTTCGGTTTTTATCTCTATCTCATTTCTAAATGCGTCGTGATTCGAGGTTTTATAAAGCCTGGTGTCTCCCTCAGCGCGACCCGGAACGTCTGGCATTCGAGCGAAGTCAGTGCGCCGCCATCATCAAACAGATCGAGGAGAATTATGCTGTCGGGATTGTTCGAGGAGAGAAAGGGGCAAAGACAGATGCGAGGTCTTGAAATCCATTCAGTTTGTGAGGGCGACATACGGAGATTGTCAAATCAGGAACTCCCTCGGCTCATCTTTTCGTACGATCATGAACGCGATTTTGATACCGGAATCATGGGACATAGTTCGAGACTTCCATATCCTTGCGGTTCGTGCAATGAGTCGCGAGCGTTTCGGAGAATTTCGCGGGATCGGGAGGAAGAATCTCATTGGGTTCCCTCAGGGACGACACGAAAAATCGTCGATTTCCGTAGAACGAAGAGTGTCCTGACTCCGGGAAAAAAAGTGTCTTGACTCAAAAAAAAATGTAATCCATCCTGGAGACGATTCGGAAAGGAACAACTCCGCTAGAGCTGTACGAACCTGAGATGCGGATTAGCTCGGGGCGAATATTCTGAGACTTCTTGGCCAACTCGATCGACCGGTTTTTCACTTGAGGGGGAATCCTCCCAAATGAATAGGGTACGAATTCTGACACGACTGACTGACTGAGCGAGCGAGCGGGCAGCCGAGTGACTTCATCGTAATTGGGCTTGTCAGCAGCGATTCGTCCCATAATCACAATTTCCGTCATTATCTCGATCGTCGCAGTCTTCGAATTCATATCCAACCCCATCGACGTAATGTAATCGTCATCGTGGTCCTCGATCGCTCCTCCGACTCCGTCGGCGAAGACTTCTCTCTCCCGGTCATTTTCCTCTTCTCCGGACAAGGAGACGCTTTATATTTATTTGTGTTGCAATTAATTTTATAAATCATGTTTGAACTTCTTATTCTGCCTGTCGCCAGCTCCGATGGCTGCTTGTTACGTCTGATGGTGGACAAACCTTTTTCTCTCTTCGTTCTCCTTGCCTGTCGCCGTAAAGAGTCAGCGTTCTCGAAATAATAGTCGCTATTTCTCAGTCAGTCGTCCGGTCGCTCGACCGACCGACCGGCTCGAATGGTCATCTACAGCTATGGCACTTGTTGCTCGTCGACTTCACCCGGTCGCTACATACGCGCTTGAGCGTCCGGTGAGCGGATTCCCAATTACTTACGAACGATGCGCGGGGAGAAGAAGCGATGAGAAGCCGCTCAACTCGGAGACGAAATTCTTTTATATATGTATAATCTAACTCCCATTTTCGCTGAGCTGCGTTCTCTTCGGTTTCTGGCTTCGACGACGCGGATCCAAATCCATTTGTCTCCCGTTTGTCATCGATGCTCGGCATTTACGGCGGATCGAGGGTTCCGCCGAAGTGCCGACCTCGACGAAAGAGAGCAGGCGTGTCTTTGCTGCTGTGACCTCTGCAGTGAATACTGCGCATGTTTGAGTCAATACGACCTTCGGTGGACATCTCGGAGAATGAGCGCGGAGTCGAGGATTTCATTGCTCCGCTCATGGGCCCTGGAGAATCTCCACTTTATCCAGTTGACGATTTAGTAATTCGGCCCGGACCAACGACGTCTTCCACCTTGTGGAAAGAATGCTCGAAACGGAGTTGGTCCAGGCGACGAGAGGCGAAAAATCAAAGAAACCGAGCCATCAACGGAAAGCCTTTATAAATATATATGCGCAGATGTATGTGTCTAACCGGCGCTCACAAACACTATTTATTCTCCTTGCCGGTTACAACAAAAATTACCCGTCTTCTTCTAGTAGTAGTTGCTCTTAGACACGTGTTCCGAATCCTTCCGAATTCTTGACGTTTCTCCGACTCTTCGTCACATTAAAGTGGGACTTCGTATTTGAATTCGAAAACTTAATCCAGACCCACCATTTGGCCGTGGGAATCGTGGCGAAACGCTGACGGCCCTACGCAGTCTGTCTGGAAGATAGGCAGAGAGCTCGAGCTTTTTCCCCAACCATTTGTAGTGAATGAAGGATTCTTCCGAATTAGGTCGAACCACATCGAAATCAAGAATCCAAAATAATCGACCTCTAATGAACGGGATCCTGCGGTGAACTTTCGGGAAGTTATGATTTCTGGAAATAATAATAATCCGAGAATTCTTCCCCGGTCCCTAGGTAATCTTTCGTGCTCCCTCGCTGACCATATAATCGAGTCCGATTCGGTCTCCGAGCTTTCTGTGTTCCGAATTCTCTGTGTTCGAGCGTAGATGACGATTGAGCTGTCAAACGCGACGACAGCCCAATTTGGATTCGATAGCGACCTCATGGAAAATGTACTATTTCACGTACGCGGCTATAAATGTACGGTTAGACAATTTGAGGATCAAGTTTGAATGGTCCTGCCATAAGCATACGATGACGATTTGACAATCGACCTCTCTCGCTTGCTCTCTCTCTCCGGTCGAACGTACTTTGTTTCAACTCTGGTTGAATACGATGCCGACAGGAATGATTCGAGAGACTGAGCTGGTTCCTGTGGGTCTGCTATTTCGTGAATTGATTGCATTTCGGTGAGCTCACTCCGCCTCGCTCGGTCTGATCTCTGTGAAGTCTCGCTTCCCATTGTCATCGTCGTTCATTTCGATTTGTACCGAAACAACGACGACAAATGTTCGACGGTCGGTCACAAACTTTTCGAGATGACCACGCCCTCTTTTTAGCCAATCAGTAAAAACTGTTTCGGCATGACCAACGCACTCACTGACTGATCAGGCAGGAGTCCGCTCTCGAAAGACCTATCCCCTGTCCATTACGGTGTGCCTCTGTTTGCGGATGGAGGAACCTTCCGAAAAATCCGCGCCTGAGAGATCGATCCCCTATCCGGTGACCTGCAACGGACTTATACATTTTGCGCTTGATTGCCACAGTTTATGAGCTCCTTCCGGATTACCGTAGCCGTTCGTCTCGGGGCACAGCGCTCATCTGGCACGGGTTTCAGCTAATTATGGCTCCAACGGATGTCGGAATCGGGACATGATAATGAAGATTTCGAGTGAGAACTAGGCATTGGTGTTATATTGTAGTAACCTTCGAGATGTAATGTGAGCGAAATGGCCTGGAAGTACTAAATGTTCTTTGTTTCAAACGTGAAAATCTCCCGTTCAAGCGATTTTCCGCTAAATGACATCCGTTCACGAATTGCTTCGCCATCAATCCGCTCTGGTCGATGGGCAAATGAGAATACTATCTAGTCTGTGTGAGAAGCTCAAGAGCTCAATCGCTAATATGTTTCCTTTTTTTCCGCTTGCTTACAGAGAGCGATTCGGATCTGGACGCGCGTCAGAGAAGATGTCGCACCAATTTCAACGCCTGGCAACTGGAGGAGCTCGAGAAAGCCTTCCAGATCTCCCATTATCCCGACGTATTCCTCCGCGAGGCCCTAGCGTTAAGGCTCGATCTCTCCGAGTCGAGGATTCAGGTAATTTTCGGCTCCCCACTGCATGAGGGGGAAAGGGATCTCCTTTGCATGATATACGGGAAACATAGGCCCATAGCTCGGAGCGGGGGGTTTTCTCTGAAAATTCCCTCTGCGGAAGGCTCGACCTGCCTCACCCGCGGTACCATGTGCACTCGACCATGGTGCGCCGATTTCGATTCCGAAATGCAAGGTCCGGGGGTTTCCTCGACTAACTGCCGCGGTTTCAAACGTGAGCTCTGAGCCTCAGACCGAGACATCGAGCTGGCTCGAGACCGGATAATAATGCCACAGAAGCCGGAGCCGACAACCGATTTGTCTGGGGGATGTGAAGCCTAGCGTCGATGACCGCAAACTTATCTGGACTTACATCTCTCACGGGCAGCAGGTCGGTCACTCACTCATGGAGTGACTGACCTGACTGAGTGAGTGAGTGAGTGTCCGTACGGAGTTGTCTGTCTCGGTCATATATGTTCTCCGTAATTCATTCACTGCTATCAGTGACGGAATATCTATTACACCGGTAGCGAAAGACGCTCAGCTCGTTGCCGTTTGTTTTCGGTGCCACCCTTAACAGATGAGCGGATATACATATGTACATGGTATATGCTTCCGTGCTGTAAGTCATCACCACAGCTCTCGAGGACCCCCATAGACTCCGCCACGGTAGCAAATTACGTATCGGTCGCGCCAATCTACGAGAAAACAAAACGTATTAACAGCGAGCCGTGGGTCCTACTACGCCGACTCAGAATCGACTGGCCTGGGAGAACTTTTCGGAGACGAATACTTCAGACAGAGCCTTCTATCCCGATAAATAATTAATACTGCGGAAGAATGACGGAGAAAAGAGCCTCCAAGCCAGCTCATGAACGAGAAGCATTCGATTGGGTTACGTGAATGAGGGACCGATGAATGTTTCGTGCGGTCATTTTTGTCCCTTTCGATGCGTTCGCAAATCTGATCCGATGTGCTGGTATTTTGATATTCTACACCCCGAAAGTTTTCGTCTGTCCCATGCTCTCCTGGGGACTCCGATTTGAAGAAGCAGAAAGAAATGGAAAACGGAACAGATAATTTTAGACCAATCGGATCGTCGTCCTATGAAAAGAACTCGAGCGAGCATTCAAGTATGAGCCAGATGTGATGAGTGGCAAATAGATAACCTCATGACGGTTTGACGGATAGTCCGATGATGATGCGGGGTCTCCTTGGGTAGTTCTAGCGGGCTGTCCGCCAGGCCGCCCTGTCCCAATGTCTGGCATCCTGAGGTTCTGCTAATTTTCCCTCGAGTTTTCCCTCCGCGCTCCTCTTGCCGTCCCCCTCTGTTGAGCGATCGAAAGCTAATAAGTGGCAGATATAGCTACCGCCAGAAACACCTTTCACGACCATGGAACACCGAGGATTTTTTCCGGATCGCCGTCGGTCATGTGGGCCCGGAATTCAATTTGTCATTTTTCGTCGATTGAGCCACCTTCTAGCGACACTGCGTGCCTGCCCAACGACGACGATCCCGCATCGTACTACATGAGGACAGTGATCCGACGACAGCATCTGGCGATCCTGTTGACGTCGAGGAGCACGTCCATGGTGGATGGTTGGCAGACTGGCTGCATGGCTGCTCCGTTCGGCCGTCTATGTAACCATTCGTTGGTCCGTCCATCCAAGCGACGTCGAATGTGTGTTTCTGTCAAGGCGTAATGAAATGATTGAGCGGCATGCGGGCACTCATCGACTAGACGCCCCATTCGCTAAAGCTAGCCACAGTTCAAGTGACGAAATGCGCCCGCTCAAAGGATCACATCACAGAAAACGACCCCTGCGTTTCAGAGCTTGTTGTTTCCCTCCTTCGGACGAATTCCCTCTGTAGACGACAAATGATAGTGTCGCCCTTGCGGGACCTCAGCTCCGTGGATCTCGGATAGGCAAGGAGGCGGGGGAGAACTTCCGGAAAGCGCGCATTCCTGAGCAGGGTATTCCTGGAAGGTGTAACCCGCACCGAGCGCATACCCGAGCTCATCGAAAGTGGGGTGTCGTCCCTCACGGACCTCCACCACGGTTTCCCCATTTATCGAATCCTGATCGGAATGAGAAAGTGCCCTGTCGAGGTCTGCGCTCCGCGGTACGACGAAGATGGAATGGGTGAAAAGATTCAGCCACATCTCCATACCATACAATGCCTCATCCCGTTGCGAGCGATTCGAAATTCTTGATGAGCTGTTGACTCCCTCTCCTCTACCGATGAAACCGAAAAAATCGAGTGGGACTGACAAATAGATAAGGAGAGCGCCTACTCCGGACGCAATCACGCGGAAGATCATTCCGAACAAACGAAAATCCGAAATGATCAACAGCTGACCGCCTGACAGCACGAAACGGGCCTGAAAGTGCTGACGCCAGGATTCGGAACGCTATGACTGGCCGTCGACCGGCCAATCACTCATCCGGTGTTCAGCATCCTCCGGGTTCTTGATGAATGGTGGCGAATGTTTGTTCGCGCTTCATCGATGCTTCAAATTGAAGTGATTCAGACATCCACTTTATACGGCGAGCTTTCGTTCCCGATGTCTCGACGGTCCCAACAATGTTTGATTCCGACGAGAAATTTAGTTTTCCCATGCACTCAGCGGCAGCCTCCTGCGCCCAGGGATTCGATCATGAGATACTATCGTAGAAGGTTCTGATCGTGGATGGTCATGATTCGAATGAAAGTTTCAATTCATAAGTGACGCGTGAAAAATGCATGAACTTGATGAACTCGCCAACTCCTTTCGCTCGCTGCTTGCTGACGACAGTCTGTCGCTCACCGTGACGGCTTCCACGGTGGTGAACTAAAAAGGCGACTCATTCAGATGCACCTTCCGTGCCGTGCTTTCGTCATACTTAGTCTGCATGTTAGTAGGTCTGAGCGTCTCCTTGCCGAACCTACCGACAGGCGGTCTGACTGTTTTCCCCCGACGCATGCATATGAAGTACTCTGTTTCTCTTCCGAATATCAGATACACCCAGCCCGTATCTGGGTGTCTGTTGCTACCGTGCGTTGATTGAGTATTCGTTTTTCTTCACGTTGCGTGACCTCCCTTGACCACTCCTCTCGTGCACGCTCTCTCACTCCCTCTCTGACGTCTAACCGACAGGATTGCTCATTGAGCTCCCCGAAGCTCACTAGAAATGACAGGGCATCGAAGTTGGAGAGAACAGAATCCATTCAATTTTTTTCCCTGATTCAGAGTCCGGATCGGAGCATGCATGCCGAGCTCCCACATTCGCGAAGTTTCGAGATGACTCTCTAGCGTGGAGCTTCCGGGACTTTGTTGAGCGAGGTTGCATCGATTTGATGAATTTCTGGTGGTCAAGGTGTTTGCTTTACGAGCTGCTTCTCTTATATCACTCGTACCCAACGAAGAGACTCGCCGAGTCCCTGGAGATGGTTGCGGGTATAGTGTCTTGCGGGGAGGATGCGAAGAATTGTTTAGATAAATGATTGTCAGCGAGAGAAAAAATGGGAAAAGAAGTGCACAAAAATTATCTCTCGAGCAAAGAGACGAGAGAGCGAGCGGAGGCGATGAAAAGCCTTAGATAAATTCAGAGAAGATATGTGTATGTTTCTGCAGTTAGAGAGGGAAAAGTAAACCGAAAATATGAGGAGGCCTCAATGACTTCTCATGATTGGTGCCTGTGGTGGTCGGGATGCCTTCGGCCGAAACTGCGATAGTTTTGGTGCGTTTGCTCGTTCCTGCCAGATGATACCCGTCGCCATCGTCATCGTCTCCCATGACTTAAGTTGTCGACGTTGCTGTTGTTGCTACCTTTGCTTATTCTTTATTGTATCAAATCATCATTGAGTGGCCGGTCGCCTGCCCGCCCGCCCGCTCGACCGGCTATCCCTTCGTTTGTCTGGCTAGTGACATTGCCGAAGCAGAAGAAGTCTGCTGCCGTCGCTCGTTGTTATCGGAGGTGTCACACGATTTCTTTCCCTCGATCGCGGGGGCTATGAGAACTGTGGACGCAAATTCGACAGCAACGAAGATGCCGCATGGCGGGGTGGTTGAGCAAACGACCAAAGAACGTTTCCGATCAAGTGAAAAGGAGCGGGTCTCCCGTCTTCACTTGGAGTCATCGTCACTAAGCGAAAGGAAACGACACTAACAGTCAGTGAACGAGCTGTCGGGTGAGGTTGTCGCTGACAGTTTCGGCCACCGAGAGAAAGAAACTTCATGCTGCTGAATGATTGCTGATGGCTGGGTGCGCTTCATACACATATAAAAAAACACCTAGAGAAAAATTCAACGAGCTTCAGGAGAACAGGTGGTGGCATACGACTCTGAGGTCGTCTTCGCTGTTCGTGTGATTATAGACGCCCACCTCGAGCGTCATCACAAGTTTTGCTTGCCGGTCCATGGAGCCCGTCGGGATCCAAGGGCTCCGTTTACTTTCTGAATACTGTGAGTCGATGATGATGTTGACGATGTTTCGATCGGTGAAAAAGAAAGGAACTCCAATGACTTTCTCGCTTAAAATTCGCCGGTTCGGGACCGTCGGAATCCTCTCCGCTGCTTTCTCACTGCGAATGTCCTAAGGGTCTGAGGAAGAGAAAAAGCAGGATTCCTAATTCTGGTTGCTCACGATGATTGCGACCAAAATCAATTCACGCACCCCGTCCCCGAAATAGGGGAATTATTCAACCCGCCACCGAGTTATGCGTTATGCCTCGTTCCCTGGTCTTCGGGAATCCCATGCATCGATAGCCTCCTGAGACAGAGACTCATTTGTTATCACGGTATCTTACTGTAGGATATCGGCTACCTTCAAAGTCATGAGGTCCCAATAAACCTCAACAGCGAGGCGCTTCATGAAGACGTCACCCAGAGGATATATGTTGCTTTCGGAAGTGGTCCTTCACCGAAGGTCTCCCGTTATAAATCGACAACGAATCAAAATCGTGCACACGTTTCAGAAGAAACGAAACCGGCAAGAGAAACTGAAAAGAGAAAAAAAGAGGAAGCGAGCACGCGTGCTTTGAAGATCGAATCTTTGAAAACCTCGCAGTGAGGAATGGCGATCCGAGGTGTGAGGGTTGCTTCGGTGTTTGTGAGTGCTCGCTCCTTATTCTCTCCGAAACCCCGTACGTTTTGGTGCTGCTAATTCGCGGAGTCGGAACTGCCGTCATTGCTCTCCATGGTCAAAGTGAAAGTTCGGTCCACTTCTGACAGAGACGCGAGGGCCTCCAGAAGTCATTTAAAACAAAATAGAAAGAGTGCGAACCGCAACGAAACTCCACGACCGAGCCGCGGGAAGGAATATAGAAATGAAGATAGCATCAGAGGGAACGGAAGGTAATCTGGGGACGAGCTGATTTGCTGCTTCGACCACGACGATGATCCAATAGATCGTCGCTACCTCGCTCACTCCAAGTCAAGTTGAGCTGTGACTGCCGCTGAAGCAGGTGTGGCTTCTTCGGCGCGCGCGTTTTTTTCTCTCTTTTCGAACGATCAATTTTATTAACGCCTAGGTCCTGATTGAATTTTCTTCAAGAAATCACAATTCGTTTTGAGTCGGCAACCGCGTAGAGAGTGCAGCGGTCGACCGCTCTTGGATACGATCCGAAGACTTCTGTCCTCCCTGCTCCTTGTCGGAAACAATGCACTGAAACTTCATTGACAAGGATCCGGGTGTGATTTCATGATTGAGACGAACTCCACCAGAATCGCCTCGATCGGATCCGAGATTTGTGGACTCGGCGGAAACTCAACGGACGAAAACACCGAACGGCCGACACCGAGTACTCTATCGACACTCGCGGCGGACTTCACTGATTAAGAGATCTTTGGCGTTCGGAGGCGCAATCATTTTCATTTGTTTTTGATGAAGTCACTGCTTCAAACTCGCCGACCTGTTAGGCTCCGTAGGTCTTAGCGTCGACGCGAACTGAATTATCTCCGTAGCGCGCACTGACGTCTCAATCCGGTGGTATGCGTGGAATCTCAGCATCGACGAGACCCACAAACGCGTTTTGTATTCAGTTCGGTACTTTTTGTTACAGTTGTCATGTTTCGGTGTGAAATTTGTCAAAAATACAATGGCATCCTTTCCTCGGCAATCTGAATCTCCTTCGAATCGGAGAGAAGCCGTTCAGTTCCCCCTTTGCGTCCGTAAGTGTGAAAACTGACGTCTTATTTGTTCGCTACAATCCCATTCTTGTGGTTACAATTGCTTTTCGTATTTTTTACTATTGCTCCGGAATGAGAACTGCTCGCTCTCATCGGCAATGTGTGTCTTTTTCGCCTAATTCCCCCCGTCTGCCCTTTTCCTCCATGGGAATGTCGGCCGCGCTCTGGTTGTCTCGTTGTAATTTGTTCACGTCTGAAAAAGTCAACGTTTGGGATAAGGCGGCTGCCGACTGCATAGGCTCACATCTGACACAATGAGAGGACGGACGACACGATTTATGACAGTATACGTACACTCACAGTCGGGACATGGAATGAGTGACTTTGGATCGGGTAAACAGGGCTCGGTATCTTCACGGAAACAAGAAGGGACCGCAATGGAAATTACTCGAGAGAATTTACACATATCATGCAGCAGCGATGGTTGGAGACACGAATCGCGTGCTGCGATAGCGCGGGACAGAATTTCGGAACATTCGCGGTTTTGCTCACCCTGGGCCTTCGATAATGCGATTCCATGTCCTGATGAGGGAGTTCATCGATGCTTCTCGTCTTTGAAGCCCTTTACCTCATCCAAGACGACTCTACTCAGAGTCCGCTGATCTCACCGGAACACTGGGGAGTCGGAGGCAAAGGAAGGACAGGTCCAGATCAATAGGTGATGCTAGAAAAGACGAGACTCGGGTCATACGATGGCTCCGCGAGTCACCGAATCTGAACATCTCCTTAATCCTCCGAGCTCCTCTCTTCTTCTCCATCTATCCATTTAAAAATATTTTCTATCCCATTCTGTTTGTGGCGTGGTTTCTTCTGCGTTCAAGCAGTCTTTCAGTAAAAAGAATCAGCTAGCGAGCGTTTGCCACCTAGCCAGTCAGTCGGTTGGCCAACCATCCATGGAATATAATCTCTGGACAACGAACACCACACAGAGTGACCAAAGCAAGCAACACTTCAACATTTGACCAGCGACGTCTCGCGTGCTCGCCGACATTAGAATGCCTTGAGCTGACTCTTTTCACAGCGTTCCTGCGGCGAGAATGCGTGAACTCGACTCACAATCACACACAGCAGCATGCAGACTGAAAGTCAGACGAAGCGACAGACGAAAGCAGCAGCAGCATCATCACCGCATCGAGCCCTCTCAACACAAACCCCGGCCGAAAGTAACGACAAACTTTTCAAACACGATGAGCGGATGTTCACCTATCGTGTAAAACAGCTTCTTCGTCTGAACAGCTTCGTCTGTCATGAATTATTTTCCCCCCGTCTGAACTTCGGAGGTTAGCTCCCTCGATTGGGAGATAACCGGCTCGCGTGGGAGAATCTGACCAGGAGACATTCACTTTTCCATCATTGGGCTAACGGAGTTCGGTATGACTTGACCGACAGGTCTCGGCCCGTGTAATGAAAATCTAGGATACTGGGGTCAGTCAGCTTATGGCTTGCTTATAATCGCAAGTCGAATTTCCCCACCACGAAGCCCTCATCTCCTATTTCCTAGTAAAGTTTCCAGCGTGGACGAGACATGGCGCCTTCGACTCATCGTGTGAGCGCTCGCGGGCCGGTAGAGACGAGAAGATTCCGAAAACCGTGACAAATAAGCATAATCAGCTTTTCAACTACTGGGGCATTAATCAAACATCGACCCTTGCCGGAGCAGCCCGAACTAGATACCAAGGGTGGGGCGAGCTTCCTGGGCTCGATTTTAATTTTGTTCCGAGGTTTAATCTCCGGCGAGCATCAAAAACCAATCTATAGACACCAGCCGTCTCAATCAAGCGAACCAGACAACAGCTGAATGAGTCACACCGGAGCAGCGTGAGCCGGTGATCCTCAAATGGAGGCATCACGTTTAGAGAAACTCCGACCCCGGAAATTCGTTTCGAACTCCCACGTCTGTCGGGCTCAATACTAGGTAATGAATATGCGACCTTGGTACCGTGGTCGAGGTGGAGTTCAACATTGAAGGTCTCTCGATATTTCCGCAAAATCGCAACGGAACTCGACCGAGAGCCGTAGGTGTTGGGAACCCGAAGTTAAGTTGTCAATCCCCGATTTTGTATGCATAAAATTGGGATTCCATCTCTTTCCATGAGGATTCGTCCCAGATACGCGTGTAGCTCGTGTCCATCTCTCTACGACTGCATAACCGAGAGTACAGATAATGATTAGCTTGACGCACCATAATAATATAACAGAGATATCGATTGAGCCGTCCACAAATCTCAATAAGGCGAATGTGCTTGAGAAAAAGAAGCGAGAAGCTCGAAGCAAAACGAGGATATGACTAGAGCGGCGGCGTGAAGAGCAGCAGCAAATGAAGACATCTGAATGATGAGCCGATTTTCAAACCAAGCAACCAATCAATTAAATTTTCACACCATCTGCCGAAACGTTTCTCATACACTCGAGCGCTCGGCGCGTCTCTGTTCAGGTCGGATTGAGCCGAAGCTGTATCTGTCGGTCGGCGAGGAATCCCGACGAAGAACGCACCTTTGAGCCGAGGGAAAGCCGCGAGCTACCATTGATTAAGTTCGTGCACATTAACACCCCAACAACCAGCAACCAAACGACTGAGGGCCGAACAGACAGAGCGACCGAACAAGCAGTCACTCACTCACCCAGTCAGTCGTTTTCGAAAGCTCGGGAACCGTTCCGCGCGAATGAGAGGGACGCCAGCAAAATGTACATATATTATCCGAATGGAGTCCATCTCCAGGCTCTAGTCTATTTGCTACATTGGGTACTCCAAGGGCATCGAGATGGAATTTTCGGGAGCTTCGATGAGATTGCCGGCTTCGCGGCACCATCTATCGAATGAGTTCCCTCGGAATCAGCCGATACCTGGACTATAATTTCACTCGCGAAAGATTTTTGTTCGAACGCTGCGGTTCGCAACTAGACCATGGCCACTCCAGTGAAATATCGCCGATGAGAGTGTTTTTTAGGCGTGAACCTCAGAGCTCGGAGCAGAAACGGATCTCATTGTTGGGCCGTTCAGACACCGCGGCGGGACTTGCATTTATCAATGATGAAGTTGGCACTCGCGATGGGTGAAAGCTTTGGTGCGACCAGCGACGACCCCCGCGGGGAGACGGATGGAGAATAAGCTCCTACTGACGCCTCAATTCCCTACGTACGACTCAATGCCGTCTGAGTTCAACACTGTGATCGTTCGGTGCGTTCACAAGGCGTCTGTTCCATTGAGCAACGCCGCCCTTGCGTCCACCCGCCGGATTCCCATCCCTTTGCTCAACCTGTTCTCGTCCCGCTGTTCTGAAGAACTCATCGGGAAGTCTTGATCGACTGCCAGTCGGGTCCCTCCTGTTCCGCAGCGAGAATTCGCGTTCAAGCACGAATGATAATAATCGGTGATCCTGATGAATGAAGTGGGACCGTAGTACGGACTCGCTCTCAATTTTTTCCAGGTGTGGTTCCAGAATAGGAGAGCGAAGTGGAGACGGAAAGAAAACACAAAGAAGGTGCGTAAGAAGCATATTCTCGACCAGCCCACACAGGACTATGAGCGGATACAGGCGGTAGAAGATACTCTTCGCGTTCGAGTCCTTTAGGACTGATTCTATATCTTCGAATTCCAGGGTCCCGGTCGGCCCGCGCACAATGCCCATCCTCAGTCGTGTTCAGGAGAACCCATTCCACCTGCGGAGATCGAACGTCGAGAGAAGGATAAGAAAGAGAAGAAACTTAGAAAGCAGTTGGATCGCCAATTGAAGAGACTGCAGCTAGCTCAGACGAAACCTAATTCGAATCTAGCTGCTCTCGGCGAAGGCATTGTGAACGTTCTCCGCCAACTCTATCTAGAAGATGCTTGTCAAGGTCTCGAGAAACTCCCTGAATCGCTCCGCGGAGGACTCGGACACTTCGGAATTGATCTCCCTTCTCTGCAACTCCGATTCCAGATTGAAACCTTCCGTTCTGCGACAGCGAGTATGTCAGTCGCCAGCTCCCCGTGGGAAGAGGCTCGTGAAAACCCTACGACAACTCCTTTTTCCATAGAAGCCATTCTCCGTGACAATCCGAGGTAGTCCTCGGACCTGACCGGTGAGGACTGCGTCAGGATCATTCATTGCACGGCCCCTGTTTGAGCTGCTCATGCCATCATCTGCGAGTCACCGCGAGGATAGAACCACCGCTGACGTCGCATTCGCCACGGTTCCCCCACGGGGCGGACGAGGACTTCTCGGAGGGACGTTGAAACAAGATGCGTATGAGGTCAATTTCTCATAAGTTCCATCTCCTCGGGATCTTGTGAGACGACGATTCAGGCGATTCCACTTCCTTTCCTAGAGGGATCCAATCGATGTATCGGAATAGCCGATGTTCGCGAGACGCACAACAAAGAGCCAAAGTTTTCCCAGGTCTCTGCATGTATTCGGAGGAGAACCGATCGGACTGCCTAACTGGCATGAGGATCGCATTGACTGAGCGAATTCATAGCATTTTTACTCGAGCACTTTGTGCATCATTTAGATGAATCGCCGTAGAACAATTATGGGGATGTGTAAATAAGATTAATATTCAGGGAGCCTCGACTCGAGAGTCTCGGGGGGCAGTGGCACGTCATTTTCCCCTTCCGGCCGGACGGTCTTATAGCTGTAGAGGAGCTGCTTCGGATGAGGAAAACGTGTGAAAAATCGATTGTCGTCTATTTCAGTGTGACTCACGAGCTATAGGCGAGCTTTACCACTACCGCGATCGTGGATTGCATCTCTCCATACGTTCAATTCATTAGTCCGCTATGGTATCGAGCTTAGAAGAGTTTCGACTTGTCAACTTCGAATAATTTGATTGTTCAGCCATAAGCCGTAACACACCCACATATTATAAACAGAACCAGTGTTGTGCTTTCATATTGTGTAAATAAACCCAGAGGGATCATGACGTCACAAAACAACGGTTTCCTTCCTCGCCGGATCTCCCCGGAATCGGCCGAAATGGTCATGCTCAGAGCTCTTGGGTCGGAAGAGGCGTTTCTCGACCCCGTTGTCTCTATATAGTTCGGGAAATCGTGTTGGTGTTATCTGTTATCCGGTATCAGCTTTGTATCGACGCTCCATCTTTCGTGCTCCTCTCCCAGGAATCTCTGTCCTCGACTACATCTGGTGGGATTTCGACACTGTGTATGGTGCAACGAGCCTCGGGAGCTTCTGCGGGCTCGGTAGACAAAGTGTGCCTGTCGGGGAGAGAGGAGGATCGAGGTTCTCGCAGGGCTTGAGCCCAGTGAGGTTATCGCGAGCTCGTCACGTGACTCGGCTTGATCTGATAAAACACTATTTGTTAAGCAGTGGGAAACACACGAGACAGGGTGCCAAACAGTACAGAGATCCGGCACTCGAATAAGGTAAGCAGTAATGGCATTTCCTTGCATCGAGCCAGTCACCCGAACACGCAATCGCTCCGCCAACCTACGAATCTCGCGTTTTGTGTCACGTCTCGATGGAGGAGAATCGATGACAATCGGGAAAAAAATCGAAAATATGAAGGAAACGGAATAAGTCGAGCAAATTCCTGGGGATAGACGAGATAGAACAATTGAAAGCTAAAGTCGATTGGATGGGTTTGAGCGTTGTCGTCAGGGGAAACCTGTCACATCGTCTCGCCAGAAGCTCTTATTCCAAAATCCTCGAATCTTGCCAAGTTGGCAGAGTGCACGGAAGCGGCTCCGGGGCTCGCGCGGTGAACGGGTCGGGGAGGGAAGACACAGGGATAAGAGGATCGGAATAAAAAAACAGGGATCGAATCTGACAGAAAGAAATACTGGGGTTGGAGCCCACCACCTTGCGAACTCATCCTGAACGAAAGAGCATCGTTTAAGATCAAGCCAGCGAATTTTATGCTCATCACTTTTCTCGCGAGAGTCTCCGAAGCGTGCGAGCTGCCCGCTCTCCTCCTCCGAGAGCTACCAGCGAAGCACACAACCCCAATTTGTATGCCTTCTCCGTCGATTGTAACTCGGCTGATGATGAAGAAGAGAAGATGTTGATGATTCTGACGGCCCAATAATTCGATACGAGAATTGGGCATTGATGTCGGATATACTTTTAGGATTCCGGAGAACCTAGTCTAGACAAGCGCTGAAGGCGGGCGGGCGAGCAAGCCCGAAGGAGGGAGAGACCGCCAGCGTTGGGCGGCCCGGAGATATAGCTCCCTTGATGAAGTGCGACTCGAATGAGTACTTGCTTCTCAGGGAGATTAGCTTTATCTCGGAGCTTTTATCTATCGAGAACGCCCTCGAGAGTGCTATACGATACAGCTGGCCTTACGCAGATGCCTGGCACGGCGCCGGCGGTGGTCGATGTCGATGCCTTGATGGTGCCGACTTCATGAAATAAAATCGGGACGATGCTGCTGATACTTAACGTTATTTCCTGTCCAAGCGGTTCGAGATTTTGGTCATGATCGCTCCGCGCGTGTTCGCCTCTCTCCTTACCTGCAGTACGTAAGATAATCTGATTTCTTCGATTATGTTATCGATCCCGGTTATCGAACGATCCCGGTCAATACTTAGTACACCTGTGGGTCGAGTTTATACGCTGAGGGGGTGTGTAATCGAATGGTCTGAGTGCGGAAATCTTGCTCAACCTCCATGAGGAGGGAAATCTCGCGGTTTGCGGTACGGAAATTGACTTCTCAGTTTGAGAGTCCGCCTTGCCCAGAATACTCTGAATTCCTGAATTTCACTCCGATTGTCCGATCCCCTGCCGTAGAGCGTTTCATGAGCGCGACAGGTAAGGAAAAAAACACCGGGTTTCTGCTCATGAAAGAGGCCACTGCCTCTGGGTGAGGAAATTCATTCGGACAGAAAGGACTTCAAAATATTCAAAGTGTTCCCCACAAGCATGGACGCGGCGAGTCCCAAGTGCACGTATCGCACGGAACGTCCTCGGACCTAACGACGATCAACTTCCGGTGGATGTTGAGTCACCACCGTTGGAGATCCTTGTTTTGTATTGTGATTCGACGCGAGCGGTTCCTAGGAAATGATCCTTCCGAAAAATATATTCCCACCAAGAGGCTACACCTCAAGCTCATTCAGGTGAGATTTCGGATACGGATTTTTCGATCCCTCGATCGGATGACTCGGGTCCGTTGCTTCGGGGGTACGCTGTATCGACAAAATCGGTAAAATTCGCGTTTCATTCCCTACAATTGTCAAAGTTCACCCCATGTGAACTCAACTAAGAGTCAATATGTGAGTCCATAAATGTAATTTCTCAGTTGTTCGTCGTGAACAGTGTCATTCAACTTAGCAACCCGAGGCGCGGCGGCGGGCCGGCCAACAAGCTAGATGGGAGTGTTATGAAACTCCTTGCAGCTCCTCCCCGATCTCGAACACGCGACTTGCTCTACACGGAGCATTAGTTGAGTGCATGCGCCCACCTACGAATGACTGAGGCGTTTCAGCAGTGTGCAAATGGCGCCCACACGTGACCCAAGATATCGCTGATGATAACCAACAGATAAGACGTCCCGAACGATTCATCACAAGAGTTTCTTGTGAGCTTACAACGCGTTGTACAGGTTCAGAGGAACGATGCTGTCAGCGCCTCTTATCGAGGCGCCTTATTCGCGATGAACCTTCGCAGACGATCACCCGCGCGACAACGTCCGAAAGCGGAGCGGTCACCTTCGATCCGATGATTATCGAATCGACGACAGAGCTGACTGACCGATGGATTTCTCTGCGAACTCTGGTCGCATTCTCCAGCTTACTGACCGAGAGAGTACTCGGGCGGTCACCGGCTGAGCCATACGATTGAGCTCAGTCCCATCCGTACTATCGACAGCTGTTGCTCTTCTGGAATTCGCGCGACATTGATTGGGCTTGCCGCAGAAATCTTCGACTGGGGCTGCCACCGTAAGGAGCTGTGAGCATGCATCGGGGACGAATTTCCCTGGGGACAGTCTATGACTCGTTCCGCTGGGTAGTATCCGCTCATTTGTGGATGACCACGGTTGTTGGCAGATATGTCGATGTTATTGTGGACGGCCTAGTACACGTAACAACAGCTAGTGGATGCCGTGTATACAAACGCATCAGTCGAATGCTCGTCGCCTGAGCTCTCATATCGATGTCTTTGATGGAAGCCACTCGAGCTCCTTCAAGTGTTTCCTGCTGTCTCGCCTAATGCTCCGAATCTATGTCGAGGTTCGCAGTCGACGACGATCAGGCAGAGAATCGAGACGAGTCCAGCTAATCTTGACCACACAGGTCCGCAGTCAGACCCGCGAGCAGTCGAGGTGCAAGCGCGTTGAGAGCGTCTTATACGGGCTTGGCTCTCCATGGGACGCACTAGCTCGGATTCGCAGACTTTTCGCGGCTGCAGCCGCCACGCATACTCATGAAGGAAGAATATATCCTTTCGAGAATAAGCTTGACTTGAGACTCATTCCCGTATGGAGCAGGTGTATCCCATAGATGGTTCCTGCATCGGCGGAAGCGAGATCAGTGGATTTAACGGGGAATCGCGGTTCCCCGAGAAGTTCGACAGGGACCCGCGTTTCGTTCCTTGCACTTGTAGGAAGCGGCCCCTCTTTTCTCCCTCCGCCACAATTCGTTCGATCATCCGGGCTTCTGGGAACTGTCCTCAGAAACGATACATCCTCGATGATGAGCCAGATTTTCTAGGCCGCGATTTTCGAAGTAGGCACTGGAATGGATCCAGCCCGGGGAGATATTCAATATTTCTGTTATTTTTGCTTCGGAAGTGACATGAGACCACATCCTGGACCCTGGTGCCTGTCAGATCCGGGAATTCCTGCGCAGGATTTCATCAAGTAATCAACGGGGACCGCCACGTACATATTGGTACCAGTAGGCCGCGGATGGTTCGAGACCGGCTGATTTCGCAGCGAGAAGAAATCGAGGAAGACGTTTCTTGTCAGGACGCGGTTATCGCACAGCTCCAGCGGACTCGAAGGCAAATTATTCAACTCCACAACAAGGAACTTTGTCGAGCTTCTCTTCTGACGGCGTGACCGTATGCGAAGACATAATTTCCTCCTACTCAAACCATACGAGCGCGGAGGAACGACTCTGCATGTGAAGTCGTCTCTTCCGCAGAAATGATGGAGTGTGACCACGGTCATAAGCCCGCGTCTCGGCTCGAGAATTAAATGATCCTCTGTCCCCGTCTCTGCGACCACCATGGAAACCCTATGGAATTCTTTATTCCTTCCCGGAGCAAACCGTCCTCAGCGAGGATTTTCGTCGCTAAGAAAAAAAATCCCCTTCTTGCTCCTTATTAGTCTCGATGTGAATGAGTGGCTTGCTGGCTGTGTTTCGAGGGACTCGGACAACAGTAACAAAAAACTCCCGCGACCGCATGAAATGATGAGACCGTAACACCGTCTCGCTTTGCCTCTATCATCTGACTGTAGCGGGAACAGTCAATCTCCACGTTCACGGATGAATGAGCTCACTTATACAGCCGCGGTTTCCAGAATAAAATCACCCCATGTTGATCTTCCATCTATGAAAAACGGGATCCCTGCCAGAGCCCAGCCTATCTCTCGGAAAATTCGTTGGTTAGCTTGTCGAGTCGAGACCAGTGGTCAGTGGAGGCTGGAGCTCGAACTCGTTACAAGTGAATTTGACACTAGGCTTCACCAACACGACCGCATTCTCACTCAGCCAGCCGCTCGCGTTCAGTGAACATAGAGCTGGGTTGTCTCCTTGTCTGAATAAGTAACTAACCGAGTCGGCCCGCTTCCCTCCTCTTTCCTCCCTTTTCCCCCTCGTTCCCGTCTACCCTGCCAGGCTAACAAGTTGCTCTTCCCTCTCGCCGCGCGGCTCCTGCTCTTCGTCTACAGAGTCGGCGAACCCGTCACACTGATGTTTAATGTGCTAGAGTTGTAATTACCAATCTCGCTGCTCCCCATTCGGTCTCCTCTGCCCGGTGAGCAAAAGAGGGGAACAAAAAAAAAAGACTCAGGACGAGTCCCCGAAATATGCTAATACCGCTGTCGCAGAACAAAGAGCCATCTTCTGTGAGAACGCTTGTCTCTACTCCCGCCGCAGGCCGATACTCAAAGCTCGTTTGAAGAATATCAAAATGCCAGAGTCGATGAATATGCTCACCGATGGTCCCGCGATACCTCAGCAGATCGAGCCCCTCACGACCTGGTGCTCCGATCCCAAAGTTGTATTCGGCATCGCAGGTGAGCCGGCGATCTTCTGGGATTGCGATAGTTTCTTCCCCGACAAGAGCGAGCCCTTGAACTTATCTTATGGGGTCTCTACGTCGCTCTTCCAGGCGCATTCCTTGTCGTCATGCTCGTCCTGTGCATCATTTATGAGAAGCTCAAATTCCGGAGACGGGTACGTTTTCTTTGGGATGCCCACCCATGAATGTCTGAGGGGAGAGTGGTCACTAAGCCATTTCAAAGACATCGAAATTCCCAGCAGGTAATCCCTGTCGCGCCGGCAACGACCGGAATTTTGTGAGCGAGAGCGACTCCTGGATCTACACATTCGTGAAGGTGAGCTCGATGGTAGTGGCCCGAGAGGAGTCACCGAGATGAGATGCCCACAGCATGAAACGACACCTGATGAGACTATGCGGACTATTCTGCTTCGTCCGCCAATCTCCGACATTGCTCATAGCTGCCACCTTATTCCAGACGATTGATGGCCCATTCGAGACGCCGAGAGCCACCATCGAGTCGCTAGAAGAGCGAACTCCCTCCCCTGAAGAATCCGGTGGTAAGGAAAAGAGAGCTGACGCTCCCGAGCCCACATGAGACAGGAAGCTCCGTCGAAGAAATCGTGCCCCACACACGTACATGCCTGGAGTGTTGAGCGGATATGTTCCCTTTCGAATCTTCGAAATATCATGGGGGATGTATTTTAGAATTCCCGCTGCACTCAAAGCTATGATTCTCGATCATATAGAGTTCGAATTCCGGAACTCGTCATTTGATCCCGTTTTAACATTGGAATGGAGAGATTGTCTTATTTAATCTGCAGATGCATTCATTATTGAGATCTTAATAAATATATCCATGAGAGGAATCCTCATTTGCGTAGAATCAATCAGCTCCAAGAGCCCGCTCCTGGCAGGATAGGGCATAAGGGATCCGAGTGACAGGTCGCATACAGAGGACCAGAGTAAAGTCTATTGGTCGAATCCTCGGCACATTTACGCGACGAGTGATATTAAAACTGGGGAAGGAAAATCCTTTCGTCACTGAGCACTTCAGCGAGAGTTTGCGGGGGAAATCCTTGGGGAGATTCATCCTACGATCCAGCTTTGCGAGATCTGAAGGAGGAGAGTGCAGGGGGATCGCCTAAATGGGGAGAGGGGCTCAGAGCCCGGCTTGAGGAATGAACACCCGGTAAGGAGTCTTCTATAAAACAGCGGAGAGTGAGTAGGACAGAGGTTATAAAAATGCTTTTTAGGAAAGAAGACGCAACGAAGACTGAATCCGGAGGAAGTAGCTTCCGAGGGAAATGGCAAAATATACGAACATACGGTGCAAAAGGATGAATCTATCACCCCAGAGAATCGGTCCGATGCCTTTCCTACCTGCATGTGGAGGAAAGTAAGGAAAAATCATTATCACGCAGCACCTCGAGCTCCGAGAAGAACCATTCCATTTAAGCTTCTTTTTCATTGATCGATGCTCGTCAGACCGCTTCAGAGCAGAATATAGTGGGGCTCCTCAGCGAGTTAATCGACCTCGACGCGATCATTCAGACGAGACCCTCGGGATGCTCATCGAGGTGGAAGCATCTGAGACACATGTACAATACCTACATTTCGACAGGAATAGCATCCTCGATGGATATTGAACAGATATCCTGAATGCTATGAAGATATTTCCAACGGAATGAGGGAACAAATCCAAGCTTCCACACATACTTTGCGTCGACCTTAAGTGTTTCTTCACGTCTCTAACATCCAAAAGTACAATGTGGCAAGAACGTTCTCGTCACAAACAACAAATCTCACTGGAGTCATGTACCGACTTGATCGGCAAACGGGCGTGCCTTCTTTTTCAGTACAGTTTTGTCAAAGATAACATTCGAGTAGGACGCATAGAATTTCTCTAGCGAGTGCGTCTCATCCTCCGGTGATTCTGCTGACATGAGCTCCGAAGACAAGAAACTTGAGAAATGCGTCCTAGTCCAAGAAATTCCCGAGCAACTGAAACAGGCGCCAACAACGACGACTGATCGAGAATCGGTATTCGGCGTCAGCGTCGTTTCCTTCGACGGGACTTCATGTCCCGGACTCAGAAAATCTGAGGGCACAATCAACCGCCGTTCACCCTCGTAGCTTTGATGCTTCTTTCGAGAAGCCTGCACCTTGAGCGGAAGTTGGAACTCTCGGCAGAATAGAACGACAATGAGCTCGAAGAACGTCGGCTTCGTGTTGAATACTCTGCAGTCCGGTCCCAACCTGTTCCAGGTGTCGCAAGACGTCATCCATCTGTAATCGAAATGTTTGATACATAGTAGACTGTAGCTTTCGATTTCCGTCCCCGGGAGAGAAATTCTCCCGCCGGACTTGAACATACGCTCCTTCTCACGGAAATTCCGTGACCGATGAATACTTGTCATATGAAATATCTCCCGGAACAACTTACCAATTGCTGTCCGCGCACCAGATCGAGAGCCACGTTATCGATCTCTCTGATGGCCACCGCATAAGGCAGACCAGCAACCTCATGAAGGTTCCTTCCTAAAGCTATATTGGACTCGTGGAGTGATCGGCACTGGACCGGGCGAGCTGGGTGTTCCTGGAACAGGTGAGTGGCTGGTTGAAACGAAAGTCTCGACAGATGATGAGGATTCATTCGTCTCCGAAGTCCGGCAATATCAGAGGAGCCTCGGAGTCCGAGATGATAACTGAGACAGCTCATCTCCGGAGAGTCTGGAGCTGAGAGCGGTACCTACAGCATTCCGTTTTTGAGCCCTGCTCGATCTGATTTCCGAGAACATTAGCAGCTCGGGTCGCAAAAGACGAAGCACGTCATGGATACTCACTTGTGATACTGATGCTATCGACGGTGAGACAGGTGTAACCGATGAGAATGACACAGTGTCGAACGATGATGTTCCTAGAATGAGGGTTTTCTTCCGGATACTTTGAACACTTTCTCAGGAGTTCGCTCGTGAAGGCGGAGCAGTATGCGATGTTTGCACATCTCCTCATCGGCGAATAAGATTTGATCTCTGTACCTAAGAATTCGGGATCTGACAGCGGAACCGGCCGAAACGGAAGGTTTCGCGTCGGAGCTTACCTTGGATGGTAGATGAACTTTTGACGTGAGTTCTTTTCCTGTTTTTCGCATCGAAAACTCCAGACTCTTCATCGTCACTGCTTTCAGAAGCCTCGCCCGCCTCGACAAGCCTGTCGCTCCGGATCGCTAAGTTCTTGAAGCTTCCTCCACTACTCGAAGAGCCGACTCCCTGAATAGGCATCGAGAGTGTGCTGTCAGAACTGAGGCGCAAATGATGCTCCACCTCGGAGGTTACTGGTGGAACTCCAGGAACTGCCTGTGTGTCTCGCAGATATTCACTCAGCCAGTACTTACTCTTCTATGGTCCATCTCCCCACGGAGACGGGACAACCTCTTGTGAATAACCACTGCTCTATCTACTCTATCAGCTGATAGATGGGCCACTGGCTGCTCCCGGTGGTTGCTACAGTGTTTATGTGAAGCAGAATCAACAGGAGGGCGCTACAATCTAAACCATAGTGCACGCAAACTGGCTGGCTCGGCGACACCGATCGTACGCTTGCTTCAACGGTCCAAGATTTTGTGTACCTACGCGATCTCCTCGAGAGAGAGCGGTAGGAGTAATTAAACAGAAAGGGGGGGGGTTGATCGTCGTCGAGAAAGTCAGGATGATAGCAATGCCGATGATCTTTGCTGATGATGTCAACGAGATTCGGGCGCTACCCTCCCCTCCGCTGCCTCACCGATCTCTCGTGAGATCTCACACTGTCGCGAGAATTCAGTGGACTCAGGGCTCCCACGAATCCTCGCAGGGCTTCCGTTCGATGAACTTGCATAGACCCGACGCATGAACGGAAACGCGGATCAATCCGTGAAGTTGGCCGCTTCGCTATGAGAATAGGGCATCTGCGATCCAGGTAGATCTCCGTAGAGGTCATCTATCGGGCTATCATAGGCAGCCTTTTTCCGGGAAGAGTCAACTCTCCTTTTCTGAGCGAAGAGGATACAGGGAGGAGGCTCCCGCGAGGGAGCGTAAAGTATGCGACTCCGAACTCGACCGGAGAATCCTGAGATGGGAAGGAAGCTGAGAATCCATCGCTTTCCTTCAGAGAAGTTTTGGTAAAGATAAACCGGTCAGATATTTTTGGATCGAAGGGTATATTCAGGTCCTCCTGACCCCGAGGCTAGTCGGAGCATCGTGGAACCGCATTCGCCGAGGTGGACCTGAATCATGGCGCTTTCGACGAGACAGTGGACATCGTATAACAATTATAATCTTAACAATTGGAGGGCATGCTCATATCCGCGGGCACGGCCTTCACGACGGATGCCATCCAAGCCTCAGAACGACGGTCACTATGTGGTCACTATCCAAGTCCCAATTCCGAGATGGACATCGAGCCCGCATCTCACTCGAACTCGTGGGATCGCATTGAGAAGTGAGTTAGCAATCAATTAATTCAAAGGCAGCGAAATCGAGTTTGGCCTTGAAAACTCAATTCGAGCTCCCGTTAATGGATCACCCGATTTAGGAGGGCATGCTCTAGAACAGCGGTTCTCAAACTTTTCTCTCCACGTTTCCCCCAAGCCTTATGAGGGGCGCTCGCTTCTCCCTAGGAGATCACCGTATATCTGAGAATGTGAAGTTTCGACCTGAACATATCACAGTGCCGTTTTCTCCATGGAATAGGGCTTCCTCGATGAATCGTACAATGATCAGAGACTTATTGTAAACTAGCAATGAGCTGAGCGACCTCTCAGAGACGAAAAATCCGTCGGTTGGGAATTCTAGGGATCCTGCGCGTCTCCCCCAAAACTTCTCCCACGTCTCCCCCGGGAGACGCGTTCCCCCAGTTTGAGAAGCGCTGCTCTTGAGAGAGGGCCCTTCAAATCCTGGCGTCTCTCCAGGGTGAGTGGACGCGAGTCTCGATACACTCCACGCAAAGCCAGCAGCGAGCACAGAGAAAATAGTGACATGATCGATATTCTCCTTCGAACCTAGCGTTTGGCCTCCCCTTGTCCTCTCCCAGGTTGCCTGGTGTCCCAGGTGACCTAAGCGGGTTGTTCTCGTTATGCACCTTTGAAATCGACAATGAGCGCTTCTCGTCCAATCATGAAGTGGATGGTCGAAATTGTGCAGCTCATCAGGGTCTACTGAAGTCGTCATGGTCTTCATCGCGCCTCAGTCTCCATGTCATCTTCGCATACCGTACCATGTTTCCCCGAATATAAGTCCTACCCCGAAAATAAGCCCTTCGGTCCGCGAGTCCAAATAGTGGGTATTCCACCTCAGGAATAGCAATAAGTATACCATATAATTGTCCCGAGACATGGAGAAATTTCTCGCGAGTAGAGGCGTTGATCAGATCATGATTCCCGCTGACATGACAGGTTATCTTCAGACGCTGGACTTGGCCATAAGTAAACCACTCAGAGTTTATCTGCGCTGGAATGTCTACGATTTCATCGAGAACCGTCTGCAGAGGAACATGCGGGGAAATTTCGTGAAACCCCCTCTGAGTGGAGCTGTCTCATCGGTCAGGAAATCTCGGGGAAAGATTTCGAATGAGTGTGTCGCGAATGCTCTCCGCGTAGGCTATCTCGATAAAAGTCATGCCTTCGAGGACAGTTACATCGGGAATCACGAGCGTCTCGGCCCAAGGGTTCGCTCTGCGATCGAAAGTCAGAAGCTTGAGAGGGTTCTTCCGGTATTAGATTTAGATTGTGAACAAGACGTGACAGAAGAGGATGAGATTGTCGTATACGATTGACGATCATCGTGGTAATTTGTCGAATTCGGATTTTCGTTGTTACTCCGATTCGTTTC